TTAATTTTTTTTGAGGAAGCTACATACAGTTCTGCAGTGGCTGTACTGATTTATCATCCCATAAACAGTGAATGACGATTCCCTTTTCTCCACATTCTTACCAACACTTGTTTGTTGATTTTATTGATGGCAGCCATCTTACTTACAAGTGTGAGGTGAAATGTCATTGTGGTTTTGATTCGCATTTCTCTGATGATTGGGGATGTTGAACATGTTTTCATATGTCTATTGGCCATCTGTATATCTTCTTGGGAGAAATGTTTATTTGGATCCTCTGCTTTTTTTTTATTCAGACTGTGTTTTTTTTTTCTTTTGGTGTTAAGTTGTATGAGTTTCTTATGTATCCAAAATGTTAACCCCTTATTGGATGTATCATTGGTGAATATGTTCTCCCACATAGTGGGTTGTCTTTTCCTTTTTTTTTTGGTGATTTCCTTCACTGTGCGAATATTTTTTAGTTTGATGTAGTCCTCAATGTTTTTCATTTTCCCCTATGTGAGAGATAGCTTTTAGAAATGTTTGTTTAAAAAAATCTATGTCAAAGAATTTACTGCCTACATTTTCTTCTAGGGGTTTATGGTTTAAGGCACAAACACAAGGCCCATGGGCCGAATCCGGCCCTCCACCTTGTTACTAGGTGGCAGCACCAAGCTCCTTGCCCCTAGTTAAGGAGTAGTTACATCTATACAGTCCTAAAATTACATTTGGCCCTTTGAAGGCAACTGCAAGGCTGATGTGGCCCCCGGGGAAAATAAATTTGACACTCCTGGTTTAAGGTCTTACACGTATTTTTGTATATGATGTAAGAAAATGTGTGGTTTCATTTTTTGCCTGTGTCTATCCAATTTTCCTAACCCCATTTATCGAAGAGACTGTATTCATCCCGTTGTATAATCTTGCTTCCTTTCTCATAGATTACTTGTGCACATAGACTGGTATCTTTTGCTTCTTCTCATGAGCGATTCATATTACTTAGCTTTCATTTCATTGGCCTAAGCAAGTCACATCGCTGCAATTGAAACTTAATGGGGTGGAGAAATACAGAACTACCATGTAGCCAGAAAGGAGAGAGCCATAAATATTTGGTGAAGAGCACTCATGACCACTAGTAACTACTACAATCACTTTATCCTCTTATTTTTTTCTTGTCAAATTTGATGTTGGCATTGGGACAAAAAATCAGATTAAATGTTTTAACCTGTGATTCTTTTCCAGTGTATGATAAAATCTTTCTCATGACCTTGGTGCTAAAATGATGCCTTTTGCACTGTGTGCTCCTGGCCACCATAGCACTGTGGAAGACTGCAGAGTCCTATCCCCCATCAGACTCTCTCTCTGAAGCTGTCTCAGCTCAGTGCTCTGCCTAACAGCTTCACTGTCTGAAGGAGCCCGAATAATATCTCATCTCTAACCTGGCTTCCATTCAAAGGCTTGTAGGATTAATCTCCTCATCATTAACATCTCTGTTTCCCCAAATCACTATAACAATCTAAGCATCCCAAATAATGTGTCATCATGGAGATGTTTGTCCCCATTCTGCTCTGCAATTGTACCCCATCTTCCACTCCACCACATCCTCTGCCGCTCTGGGCCAGACCATGTACTGCTCGTCGGTAAATTTACTTTTCCCCTTTCTGATATATTTACTTCATATACTCTTTTCTATTCCCACACACCTCTTCTATTTCATAGAGAAAATAGATAAGAAACTGATCTACTCAGCTCTACCTGCCTCTGTATCTGTATATTGCTCTTGACTCTGGGTAAATGGATTAAGTGTCCCCACATCAACCTGACACCAAGCCCTCTGGTGCCCTAATCTCAATTCTTTTTTCCTTCTTAAAAGCTTTTTTTTTTTTTCACTTACCCATTTTCTCTCCACCAGATCAGTCTGGCAACTAAGCATGCTGTTATGTCATCTGTTTCCTTCTTCCCTTCAAAGAAAAACTCCAGGAAAAAAAACTTTATAATTGTCTGTAGAGTTTTACATCCCGTTCTGTACTAAACATACTTCAATCATGACTATTTTCAATCAGGCCACTGAAAGGATTTTTGCAAAGTTCAAATGCCAGCAATGGTAAAAGTCAACACAGTGCCTACTAAGAGGCAGGAAGTGTTCTAAATATTTTATACATGATAAAGCATTTACTTCTCAAACAGGCCCTATGGAGGTTGTGCTGTTTTTATCCCTCTTTTAGACATGAAAAACTGAAAAACTGCTACTCAGGTATTGGGTAACTTGCCGATGTCTCTTAGCTGCTGGGAGGAGTTTAGATTTGAACCCAGCTGCCCTGGTTATGGAATCTATGTTCTTAACCACTGGATCATATTACTTTAAGAGATTATCATTTCCCTTTATTTATTGAAGCTTTCAGCAGCTTTTGACATAACTGATCAATCCCTCCTGCTTGAAACATTCTTTGCTTTTCCATGCCTTTATTTGGGGTTCGTATCTCATGTGTTGCTCATATTTTTTTTGTCACTTGCACCACTGCAGACCTAGGTTTCAGACATTTTTATTTGTTGGTAACCTTTCCACGGTAATTTGGTTTAGTCGGTGGCTTGAAATATCACCCATTGGTTAGACCTCCTGCGTGTGTATCTGCAGCCCATTTTTTTTCCCCGAAGCTCTGTTTCATAAAGGATGTTGCCTGATTTATATCTCTGCTTGAGTGTCTTTAAAAGGATCTCACAGTTCACACAGACAGAAGAGAACTATAGATGTCCTAGCCCAACCTATCTTTCATCAAATTCCCAGTTCCCCAAGATTTCTCTATCTACCTGCACCACCAACCTCTAATTGCTCAAGGCAAACTTAGAAATAATCCTCAATTCCTTTTTCCCTCACAGCTCACATTCTATCTCTTAGCAAGTCAAACCAACTGTGCACTGAAATACCCCTAACCTGCTATTTCTCTGCAAGTCTGCTGCTGTTAGTCTAGTCCAAGTTCCATCTTTTATAACAGACTCCAGCAATCTCTTTATAATTGGTTTCTTCAGTCCTTTCTCTAAAGGGCAGCCTGAGCAAACTTCGGAAGCATTGATGATAAATACCATTTCTACCCAAAGACTTTCCCTTGCAATGAGAATAAATCCTATCGCCTTACTGTGGCATACTAGCCCCTACATTTCTGACACGTTTTCCTCAACCTTTCAATTGTGCGAACACACTGGTCCTCTTGCTCTCCCGAAAACATACCATGCTTTCCCCCATTTTGGTACCTTGTCATTGCTGTTCCTTCACTTTGGAATGCTCTTTCTTTGAGATTCATCATGGATGCTTCCTTCCCTTCACTGAGGTCAATCATTTATGTACCTCCTTAGAGAGGTCTTCCTTGAGACTCTTGCTAAAATATACATTCTATCTTTGCATAATTACTCTCAAGAAACATACTGTATTTCCTTTAAGGTGCTTAAAAACCTAATGCTGTCCTATGGATTCATTAACTTAGGTATTTATTATTTGTTTTCTCCAGAGGACTATGAGCTCTTTGAGGACAGAGTCTATGTCCCTCTTGTTCACTGGTGCAGTCCCAGAACTCAGAATTATGCTTGATGTGTGGTATTGACCCAATTCAAATGTGACTAAGTACCCTATAGAAAGCAGGGTAATGAGTTGCGTAACACAAAACATTCAATGAATTAAAACAAATGGAACCATCCTTAGATAAAGTATGTTCCAGAGCAGGAGAAGAGAGGAGCAGAAGTCTAGCTTTTAAGTTTTTAGCTTTTGTAGTCATAGCTTAGTGTTTGAATCAAACATAGAAAAATTTCCAGGTATATGCAGTGGCAGAAAAATCTTTGACCTTGGAAATGGTACTTGCTTCCTGAAAGTTCTTTTGAGAAATACATGTCAAAACTATATATCATACCTGAGTTTCTTGGACTTACATAGAGGTATGAGTTGGACAATAGGATATGCTCTCTTGCCCAAGAAAAATCTAAACAAGTGAGCTAACCTGAATTATTACAAAGAGGTTCCTCATCTCCCAGGGGAAGATAATAGAAATGCATAATGTGTTGATTTCATTTACAATATGTATGTAACAAAAAATTCAGATCTCTACATTATTCTACTTAAATTTCCATTTTTATAGCAATCATGGTTTTGAGATTTCTGAAAGGATAGTGTTTCAACAAATGTTTGATTCAAAGCTATTTTTATTTTTAGCAGGTGAAACTTTTGCTTTTTCATTTCACAGTAGGGTTAATACTTTGAAGAAGAAATGCTAAAAAAAAAAAGTTAGGTCCAAAAATTTTGATCACCCAAAATTTCACCTTCACAACCATCCTGCAAGGGGCAGGGAAACTCACAGCTTTTTGGACTGGGTCTCTAGGCTAGGCATAAAGCCACCCAAGTTCTGGCTGTGCTTGGTGCCATTTGGTGGCAGTTGTCCCCTCAGAAAAAATTGGAAGGAATGATATTTGGGTCTGGCTGGAACTTTTGGGAAAATGATAGCAATTTAAAGAATCAACCAATGAGTTCATTTCAAGGGAAATTGTGAAGATGAATACTATCCCAAGGTTGGGGATTCTCCCTGTCATCATCACTTCTTGTAAATTGGTGTTCTGCCTAACCTGACACTCACCCCCAGAAGAACCTCACCTTTGTATCGACCCTTTGTGGTGTATCTTGCTCAGGGATTTAACTTACTTGGATTAACATGTTGAACAAAAAGCTGTAAAAAGAAGTCACATGTGAATAAATAGGTTTTTGATGACACCAAATATTGCCTCTATATTTCGAACTCTTCCAACAGCTTATTTTAATCTAGTCACTAATTGTTCCTGCTTCACCAAGCATTTACTGACAGAAATGGTCCTGCCACATTTAGCAAAGAAATAAAATCTGCATTATGGAGTCAGCATCATTGTATTTCCAGTTTCATGCATGGTGGGTCCCTTATAGAGCTATGTTTAATGCACTTCTAATTAAAAAGAGGGAGGAAGTATCCAGTGCTTTCTCAGTGTTGTCTCATCTTTTGTTTTTGTTTGTACAGCTCACCATGTTAAAACGGGCACTTGCGAGGTGGTGGCTCTCCACAGATGCTGTAATAAGAACAAGATAGAAGAACGGTCGCAAACTGTCAAGTGCTCCTGCTTCCCCGGGCAGGTGGCAGGCACCACGCGAGCTGCCCCATCCTGTGTGGATGGTGCGACACTTACATTGCTCATTGCGGTAGTATAGATGAGGATGTATAGGATGGGAATTCCATTATAATGCTGATGACCAGGGCCAATTCTGAGGGACCACATTATAAATTATGTGGTTGATATGAGGGTATCTGGAAGGAGGTCTAAAATCTTATGCAGTTTTGTAACAAAAGGCGTTATAATGAGGTTCCAACAAGTCTATGTGCTTTTTACTGTGATACCATGAACTACTAATTTGTCCACTGAAGAAGAAAACAGATGGTTAAATAGTATGAATTAGTAAACCCATGGATGGTTCTTAAGAATGAAAAAAATAAACATCTTTTACCTAAGACAAAGAAGATAAAAAAGATGAACAGTGAAAGGACAGCAAACTCAGTTATTAAGAACCACACCTAAAACAAAAGCAAACTAAGAGGACAGCTAGATTAGGAGTGGAACCATAGAAATGAAGATCACATGGAAAGTTAGCAACAGGGGAGAAGGAGAAGAGGGGAGAAGGTACAGAAAATAAGTAGCATAGACAGTAGGTAGAAAATAGATAGGGGGGAGGGCAAGAATTGTATGGGAAATATAGAATCTAAAGAACTTGAGACATGTGGTCATAAACTAAAGGGGGAGGGGGTGTGCAGGGTCGAGGGGAATGAAGAGAGAAATAAAACAGCTGTAATGGCATAATCAATAAAATATATTTAAAAAAAAGAAAAAGAAGAAAACATCATACATATAAGGGAATGTTGTAAATAGAATGCTGGTTATTATAAAGATGTATCACAATATTAATTTTTTTACTTAAGTATTCCCATAATTACAATAGGATATAAGTCTTTTTATGGGCCATTTAATTGATGCTACCATAAATAATAATTTGAGTGCTCATATTAGCATGGTACATTTCTGGTGATTGCTCACAGTAAAAAAAAATTGCATTAACTCTAATGCCCTTCTGATTTTTAGCCTACTGTGGGGAATATAACATTTATTCTAAAATATTTACTCTAAATTCTTCAGGGACTTATTTTCTTACATGTTTATGTAAATCAGTGCATGCATGCATACATACTCAGTTTCTTTCAGATATATTAGTTTTCATGAAGCCCATATATTCACATGAAAAATCCCTTAATAATGTGCTTATAGTTTATAATACTATCTTGTACATTTAAAACCTTAAGATGGTAGATCTCATGTATTCTTACCACAATGAAGTAAAATTAAAAATTAAAATGATTAAATGTGCAGAGAATCAGCAAAACTAAATGGAAAAAGCTGAATCAATTTTCTTATCTCCTGCAGCTTCAATAGTGGAACAGAAATGGTGGTGCCACATGCAGCCATGTCTTGAGGGGGAGGAATGTAAGGTTCTTCCAGATCGGAAAGGATGGAGCTGTTCCTCTGGGAATAAAGTAAAAACAACTAGGGTAAGTGGACAGCCAGCTTGGAGAGCAAAACACCTCTGAATTAACAAAGTGCAGAATGTGTGCAATGACACTTGTAAGTGGTGGTTGTAGAATTAGAGTTTTCCATGGCACACTTTCTCCCTTACTCGATTTGTTCATAGCACATTTTTACTTCGTTCAGAATAACATCTATAGCTCGCCATCAACTGTCACGTTATCTAATAAACAAACACTGTTTGTTTGTTCCTTCATGAGATACTGACAGTAATGTGAAACACCCAAGGGTACATATTAAAAATGTTGGGAAGGAGACTCAATCCCTTATTCTTGTCATGGATAGTTATCTAAATAGATTCTTAAAGTAAAATAATTTTACTATATGTATGACTTAGTAAAATTTGCCAACTAAATTCTTTCATTCTTATAGAAGAACTACTATAAAAGTAGTTCTTTTGATCTTTCTTATTTCTTGATCGGTAGTTTTCCAGTAGAATATAAATCTCTACATAGGCCCATTTAATTGATGATATCATAAGTAACTTAAGAGCTCACACGGGCATGGTGTATTCCAGGGGTCAATATGTAAAGATTACTCTTTAGATGATGTGTTTCAGTTTGTAATGACTAACTTCTGGGAAATGGAAGACAAGTGAAAGAGCATTATTCTTTAACCTCCTCATTACCTCCATGCATATTCCAGATGGGTAGACTTTAAATGCTTTTCTGTGTAGCCTCATCTATGAAAGTTCTGTCTTGTTTTCTTTCCCTTCAGAGCAAAAAGCAAGACAATTGATTAGAATGGAATAATTGGGGACTAGAGCAGAATAATGGTATAAGGGGATGTTTTATTAAAAAAGAAAAAAGGTGATGTAAAACTAGGAACTGGTTAATTTATGATATTGTTTGACAATAGCAGATTTTAAGAAATCTTCTCTGGACATATTCAAAGGGATCATTTTATAATCCCATCAGATATATAATTCAATCTACCAAGTAATGACTGTTCAGACACAGAGGTAACCAAATTTTCCATATCATAAATAACTTTATATTGTGTCAAGTTATTTATGACTCTAATTTGTTGACCAAATGCTGGCACACCATTCAAAAAAACCACAGAGTACATGATAAGTTAATTGATATGATTGTACCATTCCATTAGTTAGCATATAGTATAATCCTTATTGATTCTGGCTGTATACAGTTTCCTTATAAGCCATTTACAGCATGAAAAATATATTTTCTTAACATTCTAAATTCTTAGTCTGAAATAGCACTCATGGAAAATCATTGGAGTTTTGAGATCCTAAAACACTTAAAAATGTTGTTTTAGAGAACTCACTATATTTTTTTATGTTTTTATTACTTTAGTGGATATGAAAAAGCATTTTTGAATACTTAAAACATATGTCATATACTGAACAAAGTGCTTAATGTGAGTTAGCTCATTTCATTCTCTTAGTAGCCCAGTGAAGAAGATAATATCTTCTTTTTACATATGAATAAATCAAAACTTCAAAATGTTCAGTGATTTCCCACGGTCATATAGCTAATTAATGCAGGAGCCAGGATTCAAAATACACAGTCTAATTTTTCAACCTGTAATTTATACTAGATAAATTAACTTATTCTTATAATAGTGATACACATTTCCTGCAGTTCTTTTCATGAGCTAGACCTTTAAAAATAGCTTTTAACATATTTGACCTCAGAAATAAAAAGGTCAAGATGATGTAATCTAAATTCTCATAGTAAATTGTTTTATAAATCTTGATTTTCTCCCATTTGGGCCACATTCTCAAGGGTCCAAACTGAGTCTCTGTGTCACAAATTCTTCATAATGTAATGAAACAAGACGGATGAACTGAGAACTCATGAGTTCTCAGAGACCACATCTAGATCCTCTAGTTTAAGTTGGGTTACACTTCTTATTTTTTTAATCTATTTTGCCCTGAAGAATGGCTGTTAATGGAGGACCTCATTAAAGATATTGTAGAGAGGATTTATACAACAGTAGATGTTTGGATTAAATTACTCTTAACATTCTTCTAATTCTGAGAGTCTATGATTCTCACTTAAAAAGGAAAAATAATCATATATAGGAGAAGACAAGAAGGCATGAAAGAAGGAACTTTCTAGGTACAATCAAAGCCAGTTATCTTTTTTCTTTTTAACTTAACAAGAAAAATGTTGCTGATGAAAATGAAGCTTCTTAGACATTTTTGACTAAAGGAATATGATGGCATCCTATATGCCTGAGCAAAAAGAGTGTAATTTTGAATGTTAGTCTAGCTCATGAAACAATCTAGATAGATCCCATGAGGTGATAAAGAAGCAAGGTTTTGAGGCACTTCCAGTCAGGATGGTGGGTTGCCTCTTCTCACAACTACATCAGAATTACAACTAGATTATAGAACAAGCCTCACTGAGGACAGAAGTCTTTTAACTAAGGATATAAAGAAGAAGCCATAATGAGACATGGAATGGGCATGTTCTACCCCAGAGTGAGGCAATTAAGAATCAGGAGGTATATTTTAGCTGTGGAGGTCTGCCATGAGGAACAAGGGGGTCCCAACCCCATACTGGGCTTCCCAGCCTAGGACATTAAAGCCAGGAAGAGGAAATGCCATATCATCTGGCTATGAAAATGAGCAGAGACTGCATTGGAGTGAGATTGAGGGCTTCTGGAGTCCCAAGCGGATGCTCTTGCTATTGAGGGGCTACCATGTGGTCTCACTTGTGCACACACACACTGACTATGGGCTCCAGCACAGAGGCAGCAGCTTGAAAAGTGCCAGCAACATATGGGGAGGACCTGAATGAACTAACTGGCGGGTGGGAGCTGGAGGGGTGATGGTCAAGGCAGTTCCATCCAGGCATGAAAGTGCTACGAGGCACCATTGCTCCTTTTTGAGCCCTCCCTCTATATAGCTGTCAAGTGCCAAATATGAGCTCTCCAATAACCTGGCTAATACTGTTTGCTCCACCAAGGTAACTCCCTGGGGCTCCACCCCACCCAACTAATGTGCCTGGCTGAAATTGCTTCCAATGGCTTTTCCAGAGGAGCAGCCTGCCTTGGCTCATGCTACACACTTTCCTGAAAGGACCACAAACCCAAATAAGCAGCAGACAACCTTAACATGCCCTATACTTCTTGTTAAGTGCCCGAAGCTCAACGTAAATGATGACTGGTCTCAACTTGCATTACAACTTGTATCAGGTGGCCCCAAGCCTGGCGTAAGCTATGGCCAGTATTGGCTGGCCCCAGGGTAACCACTGAAGGATTCCAGGCTTGATATAATTTGCAGCCAGCCTTGTTTCACAGAAGAACCTCTCCCAAGCCTACCAGAAGCAGCAACCAACTACAGATCACGCAAATCAGCAACCAACTGGTAGCTCCCACCAGCTAGCCCCAAACTGGGAACAAATGGCAGCTGACCTTGGCCTGCACTGGAGCCCCTCCTCAGAAGTAGTAAAACCAACACATCAGATGGCCAGCTTCAGACCACACCACAGCAGCACCCAAGCAGCTCCACAGATGACATAGCCAAAGGACAAACTCCTGGCCCAAGGCATAAGCCCCTGAACAATAGCTTGTCTACAGTTGTCATTGTTAGCCCACACTACCAGTCAGCATAAAGATCAGTCCCACCCCCTGAAGTGCCAATAGCAATTAAGGCTAAACTACAATGGGAGAGGACACACACAAATGAGCACCTGGAGCACTTGGCTCAGGTGAGTAGGAGAATGTGCTACTGGGCATCACAGGTGACTCTGTCAAGACTGAGAGATGTAACATATCTACCTAATCCAGAGAAACAAACACAGGGTGTCAGCCAAAATGAGGAGACGAAGAAACATGTGCCAAATGAAAGAAAAGGACCTAAATGAAATAGAGATAAGCAATCTTCCAGTTAGAGAATTCAAGACACTGGTTATAGGGATGCTCAATGAACTTATGGGAAGAGTAGATGAACTTAGTAAGAACCTCAACAAAGTGATAGAAGCCATAAAAAGGACCAGCAAAAAAATTAAGACTATAATAACTGAAATGAATATATTAGAGGGAATCAACAGCAAATTAGATGGAGCATAGAATTGAATCAGTGAGAGGGTAGCACAAAACACCCAATCAACAACAAAAAAAGTGGGGCACATTTTAAGGGATCTCTGAAACAATATCACAGGGATACCAGAAGGAGAGAAAAAGAGGGATAGTCAGAGTAAGAGAGAAAGATTGAAAATCTATTTGAAAAAATGACAGGAAAGTTTCTGAACCTGGTGAAGGAAATAGACAAATAAGCCCAGGAAATGTAGAGAGTCCCAAACAAGATGAACCCAAAGAAGCCCACACCAAGACATATTATAATTAAAATGCCAAAGGTTAAATACAAAAAGAGAATCTTAAAAGTAGAAAACAAAGCAGTTAGTTACTTACAAGGGAGCTTGCATTAGGCTGTCAGCTAATTTTTCAACAGAAACAGTACAGGCTGGAAGGGATTCACACAAAATATTTAAAGTAATTAAAGAAAAGACCAAAGTTACTCTACCCAGCAAGGCTATCATTTAGAATTAAAGGAGAGATAGTTTTCCAAAACAAGAAAAAGGTAAAGGAGAGCATCACCAATAAACCTACATTACAAAAAATATTACAAGAACTTCGTTAAGTAGAGATCAGAAATATGAATTAGAAAATATAGGACATAAAAAAAGTGCTCACTGACAAAGGCAGACACTTACAATTAGCAATGGATCAACCAACCATAAGATCATACAAAGGTTAAGAGGCACATGTAATTACAGCACTAAGGGATACATATAAATGAAGTAAAGTACCAAAAACATGAATTGTAGGTGAGTAAAAATTGTAGTGATTGTAAAATGTGTTCAAACTTAAGTAGTCATCAACTTACATATGAAGCACATGGTAACAACAAACGAAAAATGTACAAGAGATATACAAGAAATAAAAATGACACCAGCATGACACTAGAGAAGGTCATCAACATATAAGACAGCAA